TTAGCATTTGTTGGATATGTGTAAAATTATGTGTGTTGACATATCAACTGTCTTTACATGCTTGAAAGAATAAATCAAATCAAATCAAATTATTAGCACGACAATGCTAACATTCTAATGTTAGCATGCTAATAACTGATAATTAGTACTTAACTTACAGCTGAGGTTGATGGGGTTTTGCAGTTGGAATACATTAACTATAGCTTATCAGGATCTTGCAGGTATTTGTTCATAAGCCAAAGTATTTAAAAAAAAAAAAAACTGTGATGTGCAGTGGCAAAAAAATTTCATGTCTTAAAGGTTCATTAAGTAGGATTTTACACTTTGGCAGTGAAAAATGGGACAGGACGTGGTGTCTCTCCACTATACTAACTCCCTCCAAGACACTCTGTCAACTACAGCACTTTGGTTGTTATTCCAGCTTCTCTGCTCTTTGTTGCCAAAGTACGGCCTGTAAATTAGCTCCACCTGCCACACAGCAAAATTTATAAGAAGCGTTTTTTGAATTCTGAAGGGGTGATTTTTTTTAAATATTTTTTTGCACAGAGAGCGTGGTACAAAGAAAGAGCAAAAACCAGGGTTAACAACAGTTTGGCTTTGTGAGATGGAGAATGTTAAAAGCAGCCAAAGGACTTAAATTTTATTCAATGTGGCGCTCTTCCTTCTGGATGCATTTTACCTTTGTACTGCATTAATATGATTTTAATTTCAGAGTAATTTGAGCATTATGTGATATTAGTGATTGTGCCACATTAGCAGAGTAAGCAGAGTGTTCCATTGGATTGCCAAATTTACTCTATAGCCAGATAAAACTAGCTCCGGACTGGAGGCTTCATTTTGTAAGGTCTGTCATAACTAGGCATCTGTAGTAAACAAGACATGATGGCAGGGGAAAAAGTGCTTAGGAGTGGCTTATAGTGTGTATTTGTTTTGAGTCTCACTAGACCCTTTATTGGCTGAAAAGAAATGGGGTAAGGCAGCTTAAAGTTATTACAATTCTTCCAGAGGAGGACACAAATGTCTACCAAATTTCATGGCAATCCATCCAATAGTAATAGTCATTATGGAGGAAAGACCGGGGATCATCAGTCATTAGGAAACATAATATTTGAACCACGAATGGAAACTAATTCTGCAACAATGCATCTAATTTATGTCAAGATATTTCACAGGATGAGGGGAAAGTTTGACCTGTTGGTGGTACTAGATGAAAGGTCAGGGTATGGATATTTGTATAAAATCTATTACAAACCATCCAATAATTTCAAAACATTTCACTAAAAACTAACATCAACTTCATATGGGAGCATGTTGAAATATTCACAAAATCTCTGGTATTTGTTGAGATATATTGGTCTGGACTAAAGGGTCCAACAAAAAGACTTTAAACAAATAAACGCAATTTCCATGGCACTCTACTATATATCTAACAAGGACTTGTACATAGTTTTATAACAGAAAGTCACACAAGGACATCTTAGAAAGTAATACTGTATGTATTCTCACTCAAAATCTCAGTTCAATCATTTATTGGGCGTGTTTATCGTCTCATGAAAAACCAATGAATGAAATGAAAATAGTAACAGACAAAAATAGGATGATACAGAAAGCTGGGTAGGGCCTCAGCGCAGCATTCTCAAATCCAGGAACAAACCAGGACACCTTTAGAATCATATAAAAACAATGGATATAAGAAAGTTCATCATGATGTTTTTGCTTTTCACCAAGATTCTCAGGAAAGATGACCCATTAGGATTGTGTGACTAAAATGGGAACTCAATCTAATGGCTCATTTCCTCCCAGAGATGAGACAAGCTTTATGGCTTGACCTCTCCCAAAAGGATTTCTTCCATTCGACAGTGGCCACATCGTAATCTCACACATCGCTGTCTTGCTTAATCTGAAAATAATATCAAACACATTATCAAAGGCATGGGCCTGAAAAATCCTATTTAAAATTTGCACTGTGGTGTTTCTAGACTTGATCACTCTGTATTTGTCATGTTTGGTTCTAATTTATGTCCAAAAGGAGGGAAGTCATAAAGATAGCAGGGAGCTGCGTGTGAATATGCACCAAGCCGTACTATTAAGTGCCCGTTTAAGTAGTGTAGGACAGAAAGCTTTGTTTCTAAGACTGTACACTTGTCATGCCAAGAAAACTATAAACACAATGACATATTTGATGTCTGGGGAAAACCTCAATTTCATAAATGTGTCCTTTTCAGCTGCATTGCTTCAGGAATGGCAGTGTTGGTCAGTCCACCATGTTGGCCCAAAGGGAAATATTTCGGCAACTACCGGATGGACAGTTATAAAAGTCTATACAGACACTCATGGTCCGCAGAAGATAAAAAGCCTATTTCAACTACAGTTAATGTTGGATCCTCAGGTTGAATCACTGCTGTGGCATTTAACTCATCAAAGAGGAATGATGAAACCAATTTGTTAAATATAATTTTCAAACATAAAAATCACCAAGATTGGCATTAATGACAGTAATATCTGTATAAATATACAGCATGGTCTTAAAGTAAATCTAAAACACTGCACAAAGGTGTAAGTCTATGTATTTCCTTCATGCCATAGGCTGTTGAGTATTTTATCCCTGTCCTCCAACCATGGGCAAGTAATTACTGAGACTGAATACAGAGTAGACCTTTATTCAGACTGATATTTTTCATGAACTAAGTATCTGAAAGGGCTAATGAGCTGCACAGTGTCAAGACAGCGGTGTACTGGATGAAAAACCTTTAATTTGACACTTCCATTGTATCAAGGGAAAAAAGACAGTGCCTGCAACTTCTCAAGGCTTCTGGGTGACTGTCAGTGTGTTCAAAACAGCAATAGCAGGCAGCAACGTGGAGTAGGTCCTTCTGCTGAGCAGCCTTGAAACAAATGGGTAATTTAGAGCCTACTTCATTTGCACTTGTAGAGAAAAGGGCAGAAAGGAAATTAGAGCCCCTTGAAGGTTCAGTGTTGGATGAATTTAATTAGCCAGTTCGCTCTCTGCTTTGCTACCCTGGCGGGCACAGTATGTCTTTGTATTTTTAAAGTAATTGTCACTTGCCGCATCAGCATTCAGCAGATCTAGATGTGCAGTCAGGAGTGGGAAAATAGTCCCTGTCTGTACAAAGAGCGTGTAAAAATAGGCATCCAGACAAATTCGAGCTGCATGGCTGCTCAGAGATATCCTGGGGAGACTGGATGCAGTGTTCGAGAGCCACAGAGTAGAGGTATGGGCATCATAAGATACAGTGGTAAGTAGATCATTTTGCTCAACTCGACTGAGTGAGCTCTGCAGGTAGTTTTACTAGTTAACACAGGTAAAAGGTCTAATGTTGATTTATAATAAGTCTCATCTTTCATATGTCACACTGATCCACATATCATAAAATGGTAAAAAAAAATATATTCAATTATAACTTTCTTTTAACCTTACACAGAAACAAGACTAATAATCTGAGGCTGCACTTGAACTATGCTTTGAGCACAATGCTAATGTCATGCTAACATACTCAAAATGACAATGCTAACATGCAGATGATTAGTAGGTACAGAAAGCAAAAGTGATATCTGATCTGCCAGGTTCAGAAAAGGCAGAGGATCACCACAATAAACAGAAACTAACCCCTGGGTATAATGAGTGTCTGTAGCAAATTTCATGACAATTCATCTGAGTTATGAAGACATTTCACTCAGAAACAAAGATGTAAAAATGTAATCATCATAGTGGAGCTGTAGAAAGAGTCAAAAGATCACCAAAGTTATTAGGATTTATCATCTGGAAAGAAGGATATAAAATTGTACAAAATTTAATGCAGTACATTCAATAGATATTTTAGCCCGAACTAAGTTGTTGGACCGATGACATGAGTAAAACTGCCATCCAAAACATCCACATGGCTGTTGTGGCTATAAAGCACTGACATATTGTGAGAACTACTTGACCAGCCCATTCAGAAGGTGAGGAGTTTGTAACATTTCAAATTAAAAGGCCCATTTTCAGAGTTTAATTATACATTTTCTCACTGAGTCTTGCTAGCATGCATGTTACATAAATACCATCAATCACTGACAAACACTCCCAAATAAACCCAAACTAGACAGAAATCACCTAGCTCCACAAGCTGTAATTACACTTAAGTGGAGGATGCACTGCTGTACCCTGGGGCTGAAGTGCCTCTACATTAAGCTTTCATCATGAGCCAAATCAAGAACAGTGTCCAACACATCAACCAGCAGTGTGCTCCAGTAAACTGAAGAAAAGAAAAAAAAAAAGAGGCGATACTTTTAAAAATACAACAGTTTAATCTGTTTTGTTGGGAATGGCCAGAAAAATACAAAATAAAGTTTAGGGATGCTCAAACATGTGTTCACATATAGGCTGTTTAACAATTATGAAGCATTTTGGTATAGTTATACATTAGAACTAAAAACTTTACAAATAATCGCAGCTCTTGACTGTATGAAAACCAAGTTTGATGTCATTTTCTTCCAGTTTTGCTCTTACTGGATATGTGTTCAGATTTACAGTAGCAGCCCAGCAACAACCTGTGTCAACATGAATCTGTTCACAGGTGATGACGCACTTCCAAACATGCTGACACAGACAACCAGAAGCCACAACTTAACAAGCTATTACATGCTTGCTGCATTTTATTATGCTATAATCTCCACTGTTGTACTTCACTGGAAAACCATGCAAGACGGCACCAAAACAGAGTACAAACCTAGATGTACAAGGTCGACTTTCTTAACAGGTCCTCCTCAATTCTTGACAGCAGTGAGTCGATATGCTTGGCATCTGGTCTTCGACCTCACAATCTCAGGTATCCCACCTACAAACAGATAAAAGGTTTGTAAAGATTGGAATCTATGTAAAAACTTGTCAGACATGAGAATAAAATAAAAATCATTTACCATAAGAAAATATCCAGTGTGTACTGTTAAGTGAGGATTTTTGTTCCCGAAAGCACAGATGTACTGGATCTCTATAGTCTGCTAATCAGCACAGCAACACATACTTTGAAATGTCTTCCCCCCCCCAAAAAAAGGTGGTAGAAATTTAATCAACTTCAAAAACACATTCACATAAACAAAGCCCAAGAAACAAATCAGCTCAGCCCTGTCCTCTCTCTCTCTCTTCCTCCATCTGGTGTTCCTGGGTGTCTGCCTGCTGCAAACAATGGCTGCGCTCCACTGCGGGCTCCGTCTTGGGATGATGGATGAGGCATTTGCCTCACTCAAGGCCCTGTCTTCTTCCTCTCCATGCCAGTGTCTGCTCATCACTCATGTGCATCAGTGGTAATTTATACAAATGATAACAAACAGTGACTGGAGGTGAGCTACTGCTAAAATAATAGTCCCAGAAAAGTAATTCCAAGGGAGTGACGGCAGCATGTTAGGGAGTAGGCTATATGACCTGCTCCAGGGGTGTGTGATATCATATTAGACATACAGTAGCTCATTGGGAGATAAATTTGAAACTTATTTCTATATAGTCTATAGCCTATACTATAGGTTGATCATGCAATGACCGCCGGATGGAAAACTTGAGCAAAATCATAAAAACGAATGAATGAATGGATTACAGGCCACCTCAAGCAGTCTGTCAATGCAACTATTAAGTTATTAGCCTGAATTGTATTTCATAGTTGTTGAGTGCACATAATTAACAAGTAGCATTCTACTACCTGCCACACAACATATTTTACTGGGGTTACTTACAGTGGGGCAAATAAGTATTTGATACAATAGAAAAATAGAACTTAATATTTGGTACCAAAACCTGTTTGTTTACAGTTACAGAGGTCAGACATTTCCTGTAGTTCTTGACCAGATTTGCACACACTGCAGCAGGGATTTTGGCCCACTCCTCCATACAGGTCTTCTCTAGATCTTTCAGGTGATTTTTCTGGAATTTTTGGGTAGATTCTGTCTCTCACAGTTGAGGTGTACCTACGATGGAAATTACAGATCTGTCCATTCATTGTAAGTGAGAAAACTTGGAAAATCGGCGGGGTATCAAATACTTATTTCATGCAATAAAATGGAAATAAATTATTTAAAAATCTAACAATGTGATTTTCTGGAATTTTTGGGTAGATTCTGTCTCTCACAGTTGAGGTGTACCTACGATGGAAATTACAGATCTGTCCATTCATTGTAAGTGAGAAAACTTGGAAAATCGGCGGTGTATCAAATACTTATTTGCCCCACTGTCCAAGAGGACATAGGATCAAAAGACAACTCATTTAGTACTGTGGTGGTAATCACTGACCACAAGTCCCCCTGTTGTTTCATATGTAAATAGCCTCATTTCTATCATTAAGTGGAGATGTTCTGATGTAAACACTGATGCAGAACAGTATCTCAAGAGCCCCACCTCAACCGATAAAGTCCTCTTCTTATACATCAGTCCATGTGTAATGAAATGAAATTTGTGCTTCTTGGTGGAAGTAATTTCTTTCAACTAAGTGCAGCCACTCCTGGTGTGACGCTGTGCAGACTGTAGAAGGACTGAGGTGATGTATGATCAATAACATCTTCTCAGGGCTTCATTGTAAAATGCTGGATTACTTTTTGTCTAACCTACAAGTCGTCTCTGTGGGACTGAGGGGGGTGGGGGGGGTTGTCATCTGTTCCGAGGCCCAAGAGTGCCACTCGAAGCTGGAACAACTTTACACTCTATTACACTGGCAGGTCCAGGGATGGAGGGCGGGGAACATAGCAGCTCAGGCAACACTAGACATTCCACTTGCAACATAACAAGAGACTGGGTCATGGCAGAGGCTTTGATCTACTCACAGGGACTGAAAATCCTCATGCCCAGCGAAGCACAGCTACCTGGAAACTACGTCACTGCTGAAGTCCTGTGTTAGTGGGGTTGTGACTGATATGCTATGTTGAAAAAAAAGTGTACTGGGAGCCAGTGAGTTCCACATTTAATGTAGTCAATGTAATGGATTTGATTACACATTTAATGTAGAATGGGTAGGCATGAATGTAACCGTAGATTGCTTGGGGGCGATTGTGTTCAGTGGGTAGAGCAGTCATCTCCCAACCGGAGGGTCTGTGGTTTGAAACTTGGTGCCTGCAGTCCACGTGTCCAAGTGTCCTTGGGCAAGACACTGAATCCCTAAATTGCCCCTGATGTTTAGAGCCATCGGTGTGAGCTGGCGCCACAGATGGCTGCCTCGGTTCTGTACCAGAAACAAATTCCTTGTGTGTAACATACTTGGCAGACTACAGGTTTGTATCTGACAAATCATAGCCTTATCGTTGCTTACAACTTGCACAGACATTTACACGCGAGTCAAAATATCTGCAGTGAAAAATGCCTAGTAATACACAAGCAGTAATGTTCACACAACAAATGGTCAAGTCATCTCCATTATCTACCCTATGATGGGCATTGCTACAAAGGTAAATGTAGGCTACCTACAATCTTGCTTTGTATGTTTAGACTGCAAGCTTGAGCTTGTACAGTATGCTCCTTTGGGATACACATAATGTGCACAGGGGATGCTTGGATATGTTTGTGTGGCCGTTTCATATTTACTTGTATGACATATGGCTTCTCTTCTGTTAAGTCTACATTTCAGACCCATCTTGTGTCAGCTTGATGCACAGCTTGACATAACGAGATCTGGGAGAACATTAATGATGGCTCACTGAGTGTCCCAGTAAGCAGTAAGTCGGCCTTCCAGTATGCACAATATCATGGGCTGAGAACAGCCTCATCGAAATATAGCTACACCTGTACTTGTACTGTTATGACATGTCAAAATGTCTGCCATGAAAATGTCTAGTGAATGGAGCTGCTCTCAGCATAGCTCCACTTTATTTCAACCTGATCCGAATCAGACAGAAAAAGAGTGGGAGTGCTGGCCCTTTAATATCCCGTGTTATTTTGTCCTCCAAATAAGTTAAATTTGTTAAATCCTGTCTGAACATATGGCTACTTGTACAGTATTGCTTCCCTAAAGGACAACAGTGAAGTTAGTGAGAAAATGTCATCACAGCCTTATATTGTATACAAGGCTAAAAGTGTGGCCATAATACACACTTTTCCTTTAAATTGGGTGGAAGTAATTGTGAATGATAATGTCATTTGCTCTTCTCAGGAGGGCTTTTGTTCACTTTTTAAACAGGGGCACTCAAATGTTCCCAGACCACGTCACGTAACTCTAGACGGCCCTATGATCACATTACCTTCTGCTCTCTGCTGCCCACAGCACAACAGCCTTCTACTATCAGGAAGTGTTCAAGTGTGCCAATTTATCACACCCTTTTTACTGCTGTAACCACTTCTACCACCAGGCACTGTGTCCTGTGTTTGGGTCGCACTATCTGTAGCCATCTCCCCTGCCCACCATTGTCATGTTATTACCTCAGAAAACAACAAAACTGCTTATTTTTGTAGAACAATGTGGCAGAAAGAAAAGATGCAGTTCTGAATTTGCATCAGTTTGTCATCTTGTGGTGAAAGAGAAACTATAGTAGTAAGCATTTTTTCAATACATTTCTAACAAGAATGGAGGCTTCTGTAGGTAGGAAGAGGACTGGAGGTTTTGTATGCACTTCAGAATGAATTGTGGAAGATGCACCACTCAAAATTCAAAGTGAAACAAAGTGTTCCTTGATTAGACCAAAGCTGTCCTCTTATTTCTGGCAGGAAACCTTCAGGTTTGCTGGCTGAGATGACAACACGTCATCAGCTGTGGCAAGCTAAAAGTCTATGAGCTGGTTGAAATTATGCTCCAGTTTATTTTAATACTTCTGACTTGTGTTAAAATGAGAACCCAGTGAAACTGGTATTATGCACTTTATGGCTGCGTACATGATAATGCCAAAAGGCCAAAGTAGCTAAGCTCACCCATTCTCACAGCATAGCTGCTGAAGAGAAACAGAAAATCTCCAATAGGTCTACAGTTGAGTATATCATGCATTTAACTGTTTCTTGTCAGTTGATCTGACAGTCAGCTCAAGCCTAGCATGGAGGAAGCTAGGTAGTTGGACATGCTAATGACTGTATCTCACTATTCCTTAAAGCAGAGAAATCCATGGTTATTTTAAATGCTAAAATAAAGACACCACCCTCCAAGTACAGCTCTTAATAAAGGCCTGTGTGCACTGCTTTGGCATGTGGACAGACCTGCCATGCCTAGCTATACTCGCTATGATTTGACAGTTACTGTAGAGGGAGGGGTTTAGTGAATGGTCAGTTACCATTAAAACAAGCACCACAATGGAAGAGATGGCTGGTAACTTTCATGTGCTGTTAGTAAATGTGTCCCTCAAGATCATAGTCATTCTTTTGTGTCCTCATGCTCACATGATAATTGTGGCCATGGAAGCCTGTTTCATTTCAATACTGAGTAATGAATTTGTTACTGTATTAATGTGCAATCTTTACACAAACTAACAAAAAAAGAAACAGAAAAGGAAAAATCTTTGGACAGGTCATTTTTCCACTGCAAGGGAGAATTCCTTCTTTAGAGCATCACTCCAGTCCCCTCAGACTAAGAAAGACTTCAAGCCTTCAGTTGAACATCCCCCACCTAGGCTGACTACAAAGGCAGCTCCACATTTGCTTATGGTTGATTTCTCCAGCTCTTATTTTTTTCATCTGATGGAAAACTTGTTTAAGGGGTAGGAGCCACTTCCTAAACTTTCTGAGCAGGAAGTGGAGGATAATGGTGCTAATTACCCCTGCCACTGTGTTTAAAATGGCTAGGAGAATAGAGTTGTCAGCAAAGTTAACACCTCCTACTTTCTACTCAAGGGGTCTTCCTTGGCAACTCGGGTTAAATATACACATTTTGCTCTATTAGAGGTGTATAGAAACTGACATAAGGCTGACAAAAGTAAAACCTTCCATTTGACCCACATAATCCCTAAAGCAAAGCCGTTAATTGAAAGCTCTGAATCATGAAATTAATTAAGGCAGAGTAAAGGCACTACTGAGTAAAGGGAAAACAAGGTGCTGTAAGTAAGAAGTGAAATAAGTGAGTGCTGTCTGCTAAAAGAGCCCATGCCGTTGCTGGAGCTGCATTAGAAGACTTTCAGCATTTGTTTACATCACACAGTATCAGGGTAAGCATTTTAGAAATATCAAAAAACGGCCTCATTCAAGACAGTGACGAGTTGGCCTACAGATGGGAGGTTGAACAGCTGGTCCTGTGGTGTGGTCGTAACAACCTGGAGCTGAACACACGGAAGACAGCGGAGATGATAGTGGATTTTAGGAGGAACTCCCCCACCCTATCTCCACTTACTATACTCGGCAGCACTGTATCAGCAGTAAAGTCCTACAAGTTCCTGGGCTCCACAATCTCTCGGGACTTGAAGTGGACATCCAACATCAGCACCATCATCAAGAAGGCACAACAGAGGACGTACTTCCTGCGTCAGATCAGGAAGTTCAACCTGCCTCAGGAGCTGCTGATTCAATTCTATAGGGGAATCATCGAGTCTGTTCTCTGCACTTCCATCACTGTCTGGTTTGTCTCAGCAACCAAACAGGACAGGAACAAACTCCAGCGGACAGTCAGGACTGCAGAGAAAATCATCGGTGCCAGTCTTCCCTCCATGGAGGACATGTACACCTTACAAGTCAAAAGGAGAGCAGAGAAGATTTCTGCTGACTCCTCACACCCTGGATACAAACTCTTTGAACTCCTCCCCTCCAGACAGCACTACAGGTCACTGTGCACTAATACAACCAGGCACAGAGGCAGTTTCTTCCCCCAGGCTATTAAACTAATGAACAGCTGGTCCATGTTGCTCTTTTAATGTGTGCTTTTTAACTTGTATATATTTTTTGCATTTATTTATTCTATTATTTATTTCATTTTTATGTGGTGCACATCAGGAGCCATTGAGCTGGAGTCAAATTCCTTGTATTTTTTTAAAAAAATACTTGGCAATAAAGTTTATGGTTAATGCTTGTCATGCCAAGGATCGACATACCATAGACATCATCCATTACAGTACATAGTACCTGTCTTACCTCATAGGACCTCATGCAACGCATCGATGCGGGAAGTTTAGAGTTGCTGTCATCTATCACTTGCAGCAGCTCCTCACACACCTTCAGCGGCAGCACCAAAGGATGTCCTATGGCATTGACCTCCCAGCTGGTTACAATGCTAAAAACACACATACACACAGAGTCAGTCTGATTTATACTCTGCCAAAGCATTATACTGCCAAGACGACTGAGTAGCTACAGTAAATCCCATACTGAAGCACTGCCCTGCCATTTCAATTAAGTAGTTTTACAGTGTAAAGTGAACTGAATAAGTAGGGATACAAGTAAGTGGATTGACGGTGAGTACACTGCATATGTGGCATCAGTCTGTGTGCATGAGTGGAAGAGGGCGCCTGAAAGAAGAAGAGGAAGAGTGACTGAGAAAAGAGACTGATGCTGTATCAGAGTGCAGTGCTGATCCATTTTGTTCAGGTTAATTTATGCAGTTCCTGAGAGGGAAAAGTCTTCACAGTGTTTTGATAGTTCTACTGGAGACATCAAACTGAAGAAACACTCCTGCTACACCAGTGTACAGAGAATGTTTGCCATTTGCCACTCAATAACTAGCGTCTTAATCAGGTTGTAGCAAATCTAATCAAGCTGTGATGTCTACATGTTGACCCAAACCAGTCTAAATCATTATATATTTTGCATGGTAATGTAATTAATGTCATCAGAAACAGGATTTGATTCCTCATATATCAGAATTATTCTATTTCCATAACTATGACGCTTCCTGTTTCCCATTGTACCGGATTGCGATGGTGCTGGCCACTTTCACTCAACTCATAATCAAATCACTACCATTAGTGACAAGCATAAGCCACTTAGGTATTGGCTCACTGATTCTCCAGCCAATTACTGGCAGTTGTAAGAACACACATCACAACCCCTGGTTTCAGCCCACCATATCCCAAATAAGAGGGCTGCCATCCTGGGAATTTCCGCTCCCCAGGCTCAACATTTAATTTAAAAATGTCAGAGATGAGTGATGAAGGATGAATGGTAAATTATGTAGGGGAAGTGAAGTGCAACACCAGCATTTAGCTTTGCCAGAGTTCAGAGAAATCTAAGAAACAGAAAAAATTCTCTAAAAAAAAAAAAAAAAAAAAAATTCAAGAATCCTTATCAGAATTGTTAAAATATGAATATCAGAGGACTCATTGTGATTAGACTTTTTATAACACACAAATGTCATTCAGGCTCTATCGTGAACAGCTTTTAAGCCAGGAGGTTTAACTCTAAAGGAACAGATATTTTATCCATTTCTGGCAATGGATGGTTTTACTGTACCTCTGCAGTATGAAATAGCTGATACAACAACTGAAATTCAGTGCTGTTAACTCGCATTCAGGTTTGACATGAACAGGACTTCTCTAGTCAAAAGGTGCTGTCACAAGGACATCTCTCTTGATACCCAGCATGCACTTGTAGTGAAACAGTTTTCTCATGCATCACTCAGCTCATACAGTTAATCATGTAATTGCACTCATAATGCTTTGACTGAGAAGACAGGTGCTTTCCTCTTTTCATGTGAGTTTTGCTTCTAATTACTCCTCCTCTGTCAGCCAGCTGGTAGGCTTGTCAAAATGGCAGAAACAACAAGATTTTCCTGCTCTGTCTTCACTCTACCCAGCTCCAGGGAAGAGGAGGAGGGAAAAATGCTGACTGCTGATTCACTTGAAAATAATGAGGGTGGAAGGCCCTTCCAGTGGGGTGCTGCTGTACTGAACATAGAGAACCACATGCAGCAGCACATCCGCCTACACCTCTCTAATGCATCACAGCAAGGTACACAGAGCCTCTCTCCAGTCAAAACAACATCCCCCTGTATGTGCAACAAACACGAGTGCAGCTTACGCAACTGACAGCTTTGAGACTACAACCACCTTTGGTGGCAATTACGTCTGAGCAGGGACCCTTAGTGCAAAGTGTTCTATTAAGACCTAAAGTCTGTTCACCAACAAAAGTGCCCTTTCATTCCTCAGTGAGCCAAGGCAGGTGGTGATTGAGAGGGTATGTGGGAAAGATAAAAGGATAGGAAAACAAAGTCTTGGGTGGCGGTTGTGGAGGGTTGGAGCGGTGGAGGATTCGGTAAGTGTCTTCATTTACTCTCTCTGCTGGGTGCTTGTGCTGGAGCAGGCCACATAGAGGAGCTTCAGGGCTCTGGCGGCTCTGGGTGATGAAGTGTGAAGTCCAGGAGAGCTGACAGACCTTTCACCCCCAATACATGCCTGTGGGACTGACGCTATGATGGAGTCGATGTTGAGTAGCCAGAGCTGCAGGAGGGAAAGACACTTGAGATACACATGCTTGACATCACATGGGCAACAAATCATATAAACTCTATGCACCCACTTATACACATTCGGGGTTAGAATATCATCTGCCAGCTTTGTTTAAAACATTAGTCAAACACTAAAGCAGATGTGTTTGCATTGAAGCCTTGTATACAAGTGATGTGTAAACATACTACTACATTATGAAATGGATCATTGTAGTCCTCAGCATATGTACACCCCAAAATAATACATTTGGTGAGCAATTGTGATCTCTTATTGCAGTGGTGTGTTACTGTTGTTTTACAAAGAGCCACTTGTTATAATCCACTTGTGGCTGATTTTTAAGAGGCCCGGCAGTATGCCAATGTGCCAATCACCTTTTCATATCGCTTCAAGAACCTGCCATGTCACTATCTCCTGTGTTTCAACAACTGAGGACTCTGCTTTTACCAACATGTCGCATGTTTCTCTGCTTATGACATGTTCTTACCAATAAGAAAGCGTTTCCATCTGAAGTCTGTACACAGAAGTGGAAGGTGCTCAGTGAGGTGGACAGCACCAGCAGCCTGGCTGCTACAATCCTCTCCAGGAAGAGAGATCTGTTCAAAGGAGACAATGTTCAGTGGAGTGGACTTTGGCTTCTGGCAAAATGACATGGTGTTTATGCCTCTGCTTAGATAAATTTGGAAAAAAGTGTTGTATGGTCAAATGTATGCCCAGTACTATTCTTGTCAATAGTATCTTGAGTCAAATAATACAGCTAATCACTGAGTTCATGTACAGACAGTGGTTTTAAAGCTTTAAAGAGATGTCAAAAACTAAGAGTGAAGTGCCAACGTTTGTGCATAATCTTTAAATAATTCAGACTCGCACAGTGGGAGATGTGGTTATTAAAATGTTAAAACCAGAACTATTAGAAATATTGGGGGGGGGGCACACAGACAAACAGTTCTGATATTCCCCAAAGTGCCAGCAAAATCCAATCAGTGGTGTCTCAGATGTTGTGTGAGCCTGACATACAAATGAATTACAACTGATTTATGGTCCCTGAATTTATTACGGAGGTCAAAAAAAAAAAACAGTCACAAAGACTGTATGACTATATTTTCTCTCCTGGATCTGCTGCATGTAATAACTAATTGTTGTTTGTTTCCCTGTGAAACAGCTTGTTTAACAGCCACAGTTTCCTAATTATCACCACTAGAAGTTTGGATTAAAAACCGGCCTGTTAAGTGAAGGTTCTGGTGTTCTGCCTCCCACTACAAGCTCCACCACCACCTGGGTGACATACAGTTTCAGGGTCTCTGTGAGATACAACACAGAAAGGGTCATTCAGACAACTGAAAATTATGTTTACTTATGAATCAACTATTAGACTGATGAATCCGGTACCTGGTGCAACAGCCTCTCCCAGCACTGAAGAACAGCTCTTACAGGAGACGAGTGCCAGCCGGCGGCAGGGTTTCTGTATGGAACACAGGTAAAAAACAGGAATCAATCCCAAGCATACATGTTTAACTTGGCTGGTATAAAATGGCAATCAATAGCTACTAGAACCAGCACAGAAGCCAGAAGAGGAGAGAGAGAGAGAGAGAGAGAGAGAGAAGGAGATCCATCAGCCAGAGTGTAATTTGTTCCCCCTGCTCTTTCTATCTGCTTTTATGTTTGTCTCAGTTCCACTCATGCAAAGAGTGCCACTCATGCAGAGAATGACTAATAGAAAAACAGGGAGATCAGTCTTGGTCTACTGAGAGCTAGAGTTGGACTTCACTGATGCACCTGTTTGAGGACTGACTGTGTGGCTGATGATACAGCTAAAAAAAATGTTTTATTAAAAAAATCTTTTATTGCTCACACACAGTAGAAAGCAAACATTTTACTGCTTTATTTCTTTAAATTTAATGTAATTTCCCCTCAGACCTTTTTGTTTTCTAGGAACACCCTAACTGTACAAACCCTGGCATGCCGTTTTAGAGGCTTTGTCTTCCTGCTAAAGCAACAGCCCCTCGTTTTCCTTTGCACATCCCTCACCTTTGGATCTTGACTGTCCTCTGTGTCAACAGGGCTCAGTTGAACAGTGAGAGTCTGTTCACAGGTGTCATCTCTGGCTAGGAGGAGGAAGGTGTCACCCAGTAAACAATCCTCTTCTCTGGGCAGCATTTTCTTGTTAGCGAATGGATCTGGGTGGCAACACCAGTCGTCCACAATGGCGTTCCAGTTGCCATTAGGGAGAGGAAGAACTCGTTTAAATACTCTGCAGAAGAATGGAAACAAAAACGCAATTACAGGCTTTCTTTCTATCATTGTTCAGTGATATTTGGAAATTGTATTAATTGCTTCTTGCTACATTGAGAGCTGTTATCTCCCAATAAGCCCAGAGTTCCCTGAGGATCAGACAAGATCTGAATACAAGGGAGAGAAATCAGGCAAAAGTCACCACAGTGATTGAGGTATGCATTTTCATAGACTGAATGTGAGCATACAACAGAGTCCCCGAATGGAATGTTTGTTTACAATGACCACCCTATTTAATTAATATATATATATGAAAGGACACCATCACTTTTGAGTTACACAATAATATACTGTATTCACATATGTTTAAAGCAACATTGCCTGGATTTTGGCCACTTTGGGAGAGGTGAAACCTACTATAAACAATATTAACACTGTATTATGACCTTATAAAGTTTTTACACCAACTAATCACAACCCATTCATTTGACATTTTATTGTTGGACACCCTCCTTTTAGTCCTGCATTGGTTTCAACTCCTGAAAGAAATGTCTGCGTCTTTAGTTGCTAAATGCTCTATTATGTTTACTAGCTAGTTGCAAACTTAGTGGAGTTTTCTGCTGAGCAGTAGTGTATTTTTTTTTTAAGTGAAAATAATTACTACTGCTGCTGTGAGCTGTGAGAAGCTTTGGACCCTAAAACCACTGGGCTGAAAGACACTAAAAGCTCATTAGAACTGACTGGAGCTGCAGAGTTGGGAGATAAGTTCCGGTGAGATCGTCATGACTAGTGACCCATCTCACATTACATATAGTTATTTAACCACTTTTTTTTAAATAAAAATGTATTGGTACAATACTTGTTTTATTTATTATATAGTACAGCACTGTTTTACTGTAGACTGAACAAAGAAAACTTTTAGAGGTCACTTTGTGGTGACTGCACATAATGGTAGAGAAACCACAAAACAGAACACATTGTAACAAAGCATAATAAGGCATATGCTCTTGACATTATAACACTTTACCTTGCTGTGAACACAAGACTGACATTTCTACTTTTCCTACATCTTGCTGAAAGAATAAAAATTTGGCAACTCTCTGTGAGTTATTGCTGAGAAACATAGCCTGAGGGCAAAGGTCTCGGTGACACAGCTATTGCTATTTGCAGCATGTAACACTGCTGACCAAAGGAACCTACAAGCTGAAGGCAATAAGAACAATCCCACGGTTCAACTGAACCACCTCAAGGTAAGAACCACAATTGTTTTTTATGGGTAACACAGACCCTTACATCACACTGACTCGATAACTCTAACCCAGGCAGGCAGACAACTGTGCACTTTGGCTCTGTCCATCAATTTTCAGACCATCACTTCTACCTCTGGGTCACAACATCAATAAACACTCTCTGCTGTTTCTGCGGAGGAGGGTCTAAATAAAAAAAAACATTCCCAGTGATGCTCTTCCATGTCTGTCTGCTCCTCCCACCTGTCCTCAAGCAGCCTGGTCATGCAGCGCTGGCAGTAGAAGCAATAAGTTTCTTTTGCCCGGAGTGTCTCCATCACACTGTCAGCAGCCTCTGTAGAGGGCCAAAGGAGAATTAAAAAAAGGATTCAGATTTAGTAAAAGGGTGGTAACCTTGCACTACAGAGCAAAAGGGGGGACACAAATTCTATAATTCTATAACTCCTTGTCACACCAGGAGTCACAAAAAACCTCAGGTCATACTAAAGATGGAGTTTGGGGATATTATGTAACAACTCTGGGGTGCACATCTGATGACATGAGATGAATTTGAAACTTAAAGGGAGTATTCTCATGACTGATGACATTATTAATGGGCTGTTGAGGATGGTGAAAGCATAACTTACACCTTCACTGACTCAGATGACCAAGTGACTCAACCCAATTAATTATAGATTAGACAGCAAGCTCTTAATGGCTATGAAAGGACTTTGTTCTCATCTGGCTACAGAGGAGTCTAGCCAAGCAGAGGGGCCTTGCACATGTCTGGATGTGTATTCTGGGCATTACCTTCATCTGAGGTTTGTGTGACATTGATGCGCAGTCTGTAATGCAGCTCCTCTGCACTGAACTCTCCCGCGGGCGTTGGAACGCAAGAGCCCTGCTCCAAGGTGACTCCTGTGGGCAAAGCCAGGCCCAGCTCGCCTCGCGGAGTCCGAATGCACAGGGAGGAATCACCACCTGTCACAACTACATCACCAGGACCTCTGGCTACATCTTTCCTGGGAAGCAGACAGGAGCAGATGCTTTACACATGTAGGTTTAAAGTAAATACACACAAAATGTATGCCCTGTCTGCAAGAGAAGCTATTATAGGTACATCATCATCACTTCAGTGCTCCACTTCAGCAATCCAGTCAAGCAGCAACAATAAGATAATTCACCGAGTAGTTAAAGAACAGAAAAACCTGCAAAAAAAGTTAAAACATTTGGTCTAAGTTTTAAAAATGTGATGCCTGCCTTCGTTATATATTACAATACTGTAAACTGAATATCTGGTTACCAACAGTCGCCACAAATTATGGGTATTTTTTAAGTGTTTGTAATTTTTAAAAAGACAATCAGTAAATTTATAAAAAAATGAAAGCAATCATTACTTTCAGGGCCACACTCCAAGTTAAAGACTACAGTAGGTTATTTAAAATATTACAAATCAAGGTACTCCAAGCTCTTATTTTAAGATGATCATAAGTAACCTGTGTATTCATAACAGTCACATCATGACTAGGGCTGTAATTGATTATAATACATAAACAGTCCCAGAAATATTCAGTCAGTTATAATGTATATGGCAAGCCCTTACATTTGCCAGCAGTAACCCGTGAATGTTTGGCATTTTAGCATGGAAAATTACTAAAATGACTCAGCGATTAGTACAACTGTTTACTTACTGATTACTCACTTCAACCATTGTATATATTACAAAAAAAGAGCGATAAGAATTGTGCATAGAATGGGATATAGGGATCACACCAATGGAGCTTTCATACAGTCTAAATTGTTAAAAATGTTTTGATTTAGTGGGATATAAGACTGCTGTGTTTATGTATAAAGCCAGGAACAATTTATTACCTGGTGGAATTCAAAAACTATTTAATGAAAGGGAAGGGGGATACAATTTAAGGGGTCAGTTAAATTTAAAAATTCATGCTATACGTACAACCAAAAAAAGATTTTGTATTTCCATAAGTGGGGTAAAACTATGGAATAATTTAAGTGTGGACATAAAAAATAGTAATAGAATTGACGAGTTTAAACATAAATATAAAGGTATGTGTCAATCAAGATATATGCAAGAACAGGTTTAATGATTAATGAGATGGAACATTGTGGGTGTGGTGTATGAATGTTAACACTTTGTAATAATTCCTTAGTATATTACTTGTGTGGTGTAGAAGAGAATTATCTATGTAGAGATACTGCTTGTAAACCAATGATGGTAAGATGATGTCAGGGGGTAGGACTGGGTAAGTCTGACTTCTTCCTACTCCATTCAAGCATGTACTAGGTATAAGCAAATTGATATTGGATTATGTGTTTGTTGGATATGTGTAAAATTATGTGTGTTGACATATCAGCTGTCTTTACATGCTTGAAAGAATAAATCAAATCAAAAAAATCATATCAAATGGACTGATTGTTTTACTTAAGTCATAAGCTATCAGCTCAAGAAGCTGGATCATTTTGTTCTCTCTATTGTTCATACTTATGCATAATAAATTAACCAACAAGCCAATTTCCCCAAAACCTGGCAAACATCAAATTATCCTGCACAAATGCATTTGTCCAGTGTCAAAGACATATGGATTCAGCTGAATCTGTAGTCAGTCACAGTCTCATACAGTAATTAATGAGGCAGCCTTGGTGGTTGAACAAAATGTGTTTTTTTCTATGCAGGCATTCTGAGTGGGACAGTATTATGTGACAGTCCAGTTACCACCACAACATGCCACGCAGAACTGAACTTATTACAGTAAAGAACTACTATAAATAATGCTACTACAATTGCAAATACCATCTTTAACTCGTACTGGATTCTGCTGTCTAAGCAGTATTGGATGCAGGCTGAGTAGTTCTTCTAGTTACAAAGATGTATTTTGGGAGATTCTTATTAAATTTTTCTTGATTTTTTTTTTTACATTACTGGAAACACTGACAGAGTACAATCCTACTCTGAGTGGTTCTGCTGTAGCACTTCTCATCTTCACAAAACTTTCAGCCCAGTATTCACTGTGGAAAATGTAGTTATATGTAATAAGACTGCTCACACTGTGCAGTTGGGCCGGCTACATTCAGTGCTCTGTGAAAAAGAACAGAACAACAATTACCTCCATCTGCTGATATTGCAGGTGTACTACATCTACTCTCAGCAAGCAGAGGCCGATCACTGGTCGCCCGTGAAGACATGTTACTCTGGCTCTGATCATGGCTGATATTTACAGCACATGTATAGCTATTTCATTGGAAATTATATTATATTTGATATCCAAACAATACATCTGCTGTCTGTATGAAACAAGAAGACACTGAGTTTATATGTTTTTTGCCAATGGGACTCTGCACAACAGCAACATGCTACCAAGACTCAATGCTAAAGACAGACAAGCAACACTGGTGGAGGAGAAGTATTACATCATGTACTTGTGTCAAAAATAGCAATCACACCATAAAATGACTCCATTAGGAAAAATCATGCTTTCAGATTTTTACTTAAAAATTAAAGATGTATCAACAACAAAATGTACCTAAAGCATCCAAAATAAAAGTATTCACGCTAATTGTCAATGTCAGCTTTTTACTACAGGATCATAATTACTGATGTATTATTACACATGAACTACCTTATGAACTTGGTTGAGAATATTGCCAATATTGTGCAAATTCATCGTCAACAGTGGCTACTTTGAAAAATCTAAAATTTAAAACATTTTCCTTTGTTCAAAACTTTTTTTTGCTTCCTACATAACTGTGTTAATGCAGTTTTGATGTCTTAATGTATTAATCTACAATGTAGAAAACAATTGACATAAAAAAGAAACACCAAATGAGAATGTGTCCAGACTTTTCCCTTGTACTGCAGTTTTACTTTAATGTTGCCGTTTGCCAAGATGGAGAAAATTAATAATTTAGTATACTGCTGGGTAGTGCTTCATTTTTGATAAATTGATCTGATGTTTTGAATGTAAATTCTTAATCTGACAAGTATGGCATGGTTGTCAAATAAATCAAATCAAATTTTATTTGTATAGTGCCAAATCACAACAAAAGTCATCACAGGACACTTTACAAAGTAAGGTCTAGACCTTACTGTTATCACATACATGCTATTATTATTACATGGGGAAAACCCAACAAATCCCCCTTGAGCAAGCACTTGGCGACAGTGGGGAGGAAAAACAGGAAATGCAGAACTAATTTTCCATCTTCCAAAATGCAAAGGACTAGAAATATTAAGTACATGTACTACACAAGTATCATATAGAACATCTCTTTACATAATGCAGTTCTGTATTTTTCAGAACTGTTTTGAAGATACAATAGGCAGTGTCACACATTATCTGTCACACTTATCTGAAAATAGTCTTACTCTAGCGAATCTCAGCTCGAATATACTCTTGCTTAGTTACCCAACACGGATGGCAACATATATTATATATATAAATATTTTGGGGTAAATAAAAAAAGAAAAACAAGATTCGTCCTCCGGCTGCTTCTTCCGGTTAGCTCCGCTACAATTTAGCCACTTTCTGATGTCGGCGCTGTTGTGAACCTTTAGCCCCTGTTCACATTTATCGGGCTATGTTAGCTAATGTTCGTAGCTAGCCTAGCTTGCATTAAAACTTCATATGAAATACAATAACTGTACCTAACTATAACTGTTTAACTGGTGAGCTAATGCAATAATTACCCGACAATCAGTAGTCCACTCTGAAGCCTTTTCCTCATCTCCAGGAAGATTCCAGCTCCATGTGTTTTGGCTGGCATCTTCAAGCCTGCCATTCAGTTAACGGGGTATTCAGGAAGAACAAAAAAAAAAAAAAGCTGGGGGAAGGGGGCAAAGAAATCATACACTAATCAAAACGCGGTGTGGCTGGGTGACTTTGGATAGCAACACAGTATCCAAAGTAAGTCAAACGGACCTATTTCATTCAGTAGAGGTTGATGCTTGTCTGCAGCGTGATGACACTGCCGGTGTGGTGAGTACACTATAGTAAGAAAAGAGCATCCGGTCAGAACTTTCAAAATAATAATAATAATAATAAAAAAAAGTTTAAACCTGTGAGTTCCTCCATTCTATACGAAGTGAAATGGTCTGATAAATGTATTGTGTTCTTTAAATCTAGCAGTTTTATGCATATGGATAAAGAGTGATAAATCAACATTTGTGAAAACTGTACTGTAGAAACTTTGCCAAAGAGAACTGTAGTGTGTGATACAGTGGTTTGCGAAAGGCCTATAGCGTATGTGTTTCTCTTTCATATTCACTACTAAGACCTGTGGTCAGATTGAGGTGTAATATTTAAATGTATGATTTATAAGAATGTTGACTCCTATCCCCTCAGTGGTTGGAGGCGGGAATAGGCTATATGTTAAAGCTGCGCAGTTGAACTATTAGGTAACGTCAATAAATTTATACAAAAGAACAACGTATAAAAATATGGGGACACTGTACTTGGTAAAGTCAAAGCTGAATGTGAAAACACTTTTTTTTAAATCGAGAACAAAACAATTTCCGAGATACTTTGAATTAACAGTGGGTGACTTCACCCAGCTGAGAGGCGGAAGACGTTCAGTTGTTCATGTAGCTAGTCTGCAGTGCAGCCTGGGAGCTGTCAATCGTCTCCCTTTGTATCTGTGGCACTGGAAGCCACCGATGCGCTCATCACGGTTTTCTTTTTTACATACAGCCGGACAGTAATAAGAAGGGAGAATATGTAGAATGCAATTACCTACTGTCTGCTTCTAAAGCCTTCTTGTCAATGGACCTGACTTGTATGAACGAGTGAGATCAAAGCAGAGCTCTGCATCTCCATCATTTTAACAACCTGCTACAAACGTTAGCCAGCTTGCTAGTCATAACACTGACATTGTCAGCCGGTTTTAGCCGTCGAACTGGGCACATGAACGAATGACAGTTGCTGGCTTGTAATCCTGTAACGGTAAGCCTTCATATTAGCTTGAATTTTTATCGTTACAAACTGTCATAAATGTCAGGTATCTGACATCCCCTTACCTAGCTAGGGACAAGATAGCTGTTAGCCCTAGCGTAACTGTTTCGTCTACCTCTCTTCCACACAAACTGACGTTAACTGCAGTAATGCGTATGTTGATATTTTGAGAACATTCCTTAGTCAACAATGCTTTCATATATATTTTTATCACAACTTATGTATTTCCTACCACACAGTCTTACTATGTGTGTACAGCGGTTGCTCTATGGCAGACAGGTGTGTGTACCTACTCTGACATTAACACTTGCCAACCTGTGTTGTACGAAAACTAACGTTATGTTTACCTGAACTTTCAGCTTCACGAGTGCGTCAAAGTGTTAATAGGCAATTTCTCAAGGGTTGTGAAGAACGTATCGAAACCTATTCCGTTAACATTAGCCGTTTACTTTGTGTTCTAAGGCTAATCCCTTTCCATTTGCACGGTTTGACACGTGGTAGCGGGGAAAGCACAGGTGTGATTAATGACATTAATTAGCAATAGCTCCACTGATAGGGTTTCCTGGCGTACGTAAACTGGCTTTGAGTCACCGTTCAATTTGTTCCACCTTTCCTTCTCAGACAAATCAAAATGTCTGCCATGACAATGTCTGTCACCTTGTTCAGGAGGCAAAGCTAATTCTGAAAATATCACCTGCCTTCTTATTGAGCCCATGTTAAACTAGATACTTGTATTCACATATTAGGCTGCTACCCTATTTGTTTGGCCTAATTATATTTCACTGAAACTGTGAGTTTCAGCAAGCAGTCACACAGCTAAGATTAGTGTTGACATTACTGTCTAATTGGTTGTTCCACTTCAAATATTCAGTTGACACTAAGGGAGAGGAAGCTGTCTGAGGAAAAAAAAAAAGTCATGTCAACCAGAAGATTTTAATGTTGGGCTTAGATTGATAAATTGTCTAATTATATTTGCAAGTAGCCTATTAGATTAGTTCAGTTTTATTGGAATGGGTGTGTAGGGTATGTTGAGCAATAAGTTACAAGGCACCACAATACTGACATACCAAAGATTAGGTAATTTAGAAACTATCACT